GTTGGTTCTTTTTGGGGGAAACAACTATATATACACACACACACACACACATATATGATTGGGGGGAAATCAAGTTTTAAAGCAATAAAAGTCTTTTTAAGAAGGATTTCTTAAAAAATCAATAAAATCCCACTTGCAAACTCACCTGCAAGTATATGCCAAAATGCCAGTTGCATCCTATACAGTGGTACCTCGGGTTACAAACACCTCAGGTTACAAACACTTCAGGTTACAGACTCCGCTAACCCGGAAGTAGTACCTCGGGTTAAGAACTTTACCTCAGGATGAGAACAGAAATTGCATGGCAGCAGCGGGAGGCCCCATTAGCTAAAGTGGTACCTCAGGTTAAGAATGGACCTCCAAAACAAATTACCGTAAGTTCGTAACCAGAGTTACCACTGTAATTCACAACTATAATTTGCAGCAGAGTGATTGGTTGTACCCTGAGTTTAAACAGGTGAGGTGAAGGAGCCTAGCTTGAAAACATTTCTCAGATACAGTTTCCCCCCCATAAGCAAAATGTTGCTGTCTCCTGTCTGACAGAGGAGTAATATCGAAAGGAGACAAGAATGTTTATGAAGTGAGCTGAATTATTTATCAGAATATTAAGACAGAAGCATGCACAAAAGGAAGTGTAGCTGGTGCTTCCTAGGGTAGTTTGCCATGGTCTAAAAATAGGTCTCCAGTTGCTGGGAAAGACCATAGAATGTTAATTAGCTCATCATTTTGAGTGGGTTCAATGTATGTCAGCCGTTCTCCACACAGGTGATGCCAACCACTCTCCAGGATTACACTTATTTCAGTGGGGAGAAACAAAACAACATTGGCTCTGCTTCAGACGAACATTGCATGAGAGTCATTTGGGCCGCGCACTTTAAAAGTGCATTTGCAGCAGGTATAAAACAGAAGATCTCAGTCATTCCTTATTGCATTACCCCCACAAGCAGAGGAAGTTTGGTCGTTAGGAACATTTTCTTTTAATTAGGACACTGGCAAACGCTGACCATGCTTCAGAAAATTAAACATTTACTGGGGTGTAACTTGGACATAATTAGTTCAGCAGTGGGCTTGTGTAATTTACCATGCCTTTCTGTAATCTGTGCTCAAGGCAGTTTTATGATCCATAATGAAATGGTTTAAAAATCAGTTGATTCAACCAGCCTGCTACTTGGAAATTTTGTCCAGCTTCCCATCAGCGATAGATTCTTTTTCTTCTTCTTTTTCCTGATTGCAATTTAGCTTCATAGCTTAAAAATTTCAAACAATCTCAATAGTTAGCTAGCTTCTCATTTAGACTGCCTACAAGCCCACCCACAATATATTAAGGAATATAATTAGTGAGTTTCCTTTTTACCTTTCCCCTTAATTAGTGATTTATTGTTTTGCAGTGTCCTTGCTTTTCATTGCCTAGATCTTCAGTGTCGTTTCAAAATAAATTTTGTGTGCTGAAAACATTTTTTTAAATCCAACAAAATGTGTCGGTGATGAAGCCAGCTAAATAGGCCTGGAAAATAAAACAGTATTTATTTGAGACCCAGATAGGACAGACCTGAAAGGCATTCTGCAAAAGCAGAAAATAATTAGGTATCCTATAGGGATGGGTGAATCTGTCAATTCTGGTTTTCCACTTTTCCAATCTTAAGTTCAGCTTACCACATTTCTGCATTAGTCCATGATTCCCCTTTTTTTAAAAGGCCTCATGAAAATTCTCCAGCCTTTTAGTATGCATTTTTCCTTTTAAAAAAGAAATAATTTTTTGCAAGGAATTTTCCCTAATGCAATGCCCTTTTGTATTTTATTTCACAAATAAATGCATTATTAGGCGTGCTTTTCCCTAATGTACACTTTTATAAAAATTGATGGTACTTTACTCCCAATCTCCCGAGTACACTCCCAGAGGCTTCATATAGATGGGAGACAAGATAGAGCCCTGTGGCATGTGGTCTAGCAACAGGAACTTGCGGGTTCCTATGTCCTGAAATAATTGATTATCAACACTTCAATAAATGGGGATGGGTTCCTTGCAAGCCACAAGCATAGAGAATGTGGGAGGAGGTTCCTTAGAACTGCCACACACTTTTTTTTTGTTGACTGAGAAATTGGGAGAGGTGCAAATTTCAAAGGATGTTTGCATATCAGTTTGTGTGTTTGGGGAGGGGCAAATTAGGTAGGATCATATTAAAATGCAAACTGAACCAAGTTTCTTCACCTAGTGCCAAAAGTCAATGTTTCTGGGGAGGGTGTGCTTTGTATTCAGAAAAATATGGGTTGGGATTTATTCTCAGCAGGTGACTAGATCTGTACATTAGTTATCATGGCAAGCAAAGTTAGAACTGTGCATTGCAACAATACACATGCTTGTTCAGCTACTGCCACTGCTTGTAGCTGGAACATTATTCTCTCCTTGTCCATATTTAAAAATAAATAAAATAAAGAGAGGTAAGAAGATCCCCACCCTCGCCAAAGTGACCACAATAACTGAATGTTATCCGTTGAATATAGAACAAATGTATCTTTACATGGCGAGAGTTTAAGGAATAAGCAGCCAAAGATATCTCAGTTTAAAAAACAATAATTGTTGCAATGTAAAGGAGGAGACATAGCAAACAGAATTTCCGATTTAATTTTGCTGTTTTCCCATGTCAGTGTGAGGCAGGGATGGCAGAGTCTATGAATCTAAAATGAATGAATAAATACAAGGCTTTAATTGTGTAAACAAAGTTCCCACACTCCTATTTCCCCAAGTTTTTAAATAATTGAGGGCCAGCGCCATCACTCAGGCAAGCTGGGAAGCAGCCAAAGGCTGGAGAAACAAATCTTGAATTGATTTATGCTGGGACTTGCACTCCTCTCTTTCTTTATAGGCTGCTCAGAGGCATTTGGACAAAAGGCAATTATTGCTGGTATGTAAGGCTGAGCCAAAAAAGGAGAAAGCATATCTCACAAACATTTTCACCTCCATGAAGAGTGTCCCTATTTCAGCAAGGGTGGGTGTGTGCAAACAAGGGCAAAAGTGCTTGCGGCTCTTTTCCTAGTCTCAGTGCTTTTTGTCCTCACTCTGAATGGTCTTATGCTTTCATCATATAGCCAGTTCTGATTGGCTAAGCTGCTTTGTCACACATCCAGTTCAGGTCAGATAACATTGCTCTCAGTTTGAATTGCTTAAGTGATGTTAACCCAGAACCAAATTTTGCCAAGCAGCTTTGTGACATCACTTTAACCACATGTACATCAATCATCTGGTACCATGACTGGAGGAACAGGAAGAAGCACTTAAACAGCAACAGTAGAGAGGCATTGCAAATAGTGAGCAGGTGTTAAAAGGATTAAATATGGAAAGATTTATGGTAAGATTTATGGTAATGTTTCAACTCCACAAAAGCTTCCTTTTTGTGCAGACAGTATTCACATGAGAATATCCAGTGCAGCCTTACTAGTATTTAATTGAATCTTGCCCGAGGCCCAGTGCATTATTATAGGGGCTTTCCTATAATCAGTGCCTAAGTGGTTCTTAATACAATATTAATAAATAGACGACGTGTCGGAAGATTTGTGGTTCCGAATAGAATTCAGAGTTGTTTTCCCAGCAATAATTGAAACTTGTTAATTTGTTGGAGCCATTTAAGTTGTGCTTGTAAAAAATCAAAGACTGAATCAATTTAATACTTCAATTTAATACCTCAGCTTTTTGTGCTTCAGGCTGCTATCCTGTATACACTTACCTGAGGGTAGGCCATGTCAAACTTGGTGTGGCTTACTTCTGAGCGTACCAATTGCACTGTCAGGTCTGCAATATCTTGTTTTGTTCAGGCTCTTTCCCCCTCTACCCAATTCACATTTACGCTTGCAGCCTTGTATAGCATATTTTAAATGTTCACACACTGGGGGAAATACACAAGCAGAGGTTAAGTTAGGACTGAAAAGATAAACAGAGGCAATAAGTAAATTCTTCATGGAAGTAGCAGTAGTGTGGTGTAGCTGTGCTAGTGTTCTGCATTGTGTTGCATATAAAGAAACCGAGAAGATGTGGACTGCTGTGGCAGTCTGCATTAATCATTAAACTAAGTATGCTGTAAGTCCCAGCCAAATGGTGAGTCCTGTTGTAGTATAACTTTGCAGAGTAATTTAGAGCAGAGATGGGGGATCTGTTCTCTTCCATATGATGTTGTACTCCAGCTTCCATCAGCCCCAATCAGGATGGCCAGTGATGAGGGATAATGAGGATTGCAGGATCTGGTCACATTTCAATACAAAAACTACCCATGTACCAAACCACTAGGAAGCACCAGAAAAGAAGTCCATGATTCAGGCAACAGTTTCTGGATCTCACTCGGTGGCCAACATTTTTTTTAATTAAAAAACAAAACTAAAACCCAGCAAGCTTGAATGGCGAATGCAAGCTATTAAACTGACCGGATAGAAACTGAAGCCATTGTAAATGGAAAATGATAAATATGGCTGTGCTTCTTTCAGGCTCTGATTTGCCGCCAAGGAAGTACATTCTGTTTGGTTCTTGGTCGTTAAGAGAGACAAAGATCAGCTGATGTGGTTGCTTGTGGGGCTAACCTTTGTCTTCTCTAGCATCCCAGGTCCTCTTCCTTGAATGGTTGGACATCTGGGGCCTGAGAAGCTGAGGGGACAACTCAAAACCTCTGTGACTTGCACTTGAATACTGCTCCCCCACCATGATACTAAGATGTATGAAATGTCCTTTTACCTGAGCACGAGGAACCCATGTGTACTTCGGACAGTGCCTGTATCAGTGAGGTCTCTCTTGAGTATTTAGTGTGGTGTTGATTGCATACGAATCAGCACTGCCATTGTTCTGTCTGACCTTGGGTGTTTTCCTTTGGTGATTCAGGTATTGGCTGTTGATAAGGTATCTTAAATGCCTCAACGCTTTACGCTATCATGTCTATCCCTTGATCCATGCCCATCTTGGCTAGTGGTTGCTTGAATCCATAAGATCAATAATGCTTGCTTTTGTGAGGACATCTTCCACATAGCTCAGTGATAAAACTTCTGCTTTGCATGCAAAAGGTCCCTGGTTTGATCCCTGGTATCTCTAGGTGGGATTAGGAACTATTTTTTGCCTGAAATCTTGGAGAGTCTCTGCCTGTCAGAATAGATAATACCCAGCTAAATGGATTCAGTATAATTACTTTTTTATTAGGATTTATATGCCAGTTATTCATCAAAACATATAAGCTGTTTACATAAAACACACAAGACAGATTGCTATGTTTCTATGTTCATTTGCATGTTAAAGGGAGACTTTTGCTTTCTGATTCCGTGTCCATTGCTATATGGGTTCTCCTGGAATCCAGTGCTATATAATAGCCATATGAAGCTTCTAGGAGAGTTCGTCTAAAGAGATTGGCTAAAGTTTCCTCTGTATACTGATAACATGCAGCTAAATTTCTCTTTTCCATCAGATCCAGGTTTTGTAATGAAGTCTCTGAGAGCTTGCCTAGAGTTGATAATGGAACAGATGAGGATGAACTGGCTTTCAACCAAAATAAGATGGAGTTAACTTGCAATGCAAGGCTAAGGATTCACCCTATAGGAGGTCATGCTAAAGGGCAAGACTTGCAGCTTCATAGTGCTCTTGGATAATGCTTTGTATCAAGGCTATCTGGAAGCTTTGGCATGATTTCCCCCCCCCCCTTCGGTTTCAGCTGTGCTCCTTTATCATATCACTGTGCCCCAGGCTCCGGCTACTTTTCAACAACTGCTTAGTGCATTCTACATGGGACAGAACTGTAGTGTTGGAAGGGACCACAGTAGTGGTCATCCTGTCCATCCCCTTGCAATGCAGGAATCTTTTTGCCCAGCGTGGGGCTAGAACCCACAACCCTGAGATTAAGACTCTCATGCTTTACCAACTGAGCTATCCCAGCAGAGCTAAGACAGTTTAGGGTATTCACTGGTCCAGAATGTGAAAGTGTGGCTTTTCATCTATCTACAGGGAACATATCATACCAGTTCATGAGAGCTTCCAGTTGATTTCTGGGCTAAATTCCAATTGACCGTTTAAGGCCCTAAACAGTTTGGCTCCTCTATGGCCCCAACTCCTAAATTGAGGCCTGGGTCAGATATTCTATTATGCAACATCACTGTTAGAGGTAAGGCCAGCCTTCTCCAGCCTAGTGCCTTTTAGGTGTTTTGGTACCACAATTTCTATCATCCTTGACCACTGGGCATGTTGGGGGGGGGCTTATCGGAATTGTAGTCCAAAATCTATGGAGAGTACCATGTTGACAAAGGGTCAGGTGGCATTGGACATCTTTTGGTAGACATCTGTTGGACATCCATTGGACATCCACAAGACACATGTCACTTTCCCTTTAGAAGGTCAGCTAAGATTTCATAGGTTTTGTTTATTGTTCCTTCAGGGTTTCATTTTGTTTTTAGTCCTGTGCTGCTGGAATTATATTATCTCTTCCAAGTTATGATTTCACTGATCATTGTATTTAGTAAGAGTTTTTTAATTGATCTGAGCTCATGTTCCTTCGCTGATCATAGGGCGTGAGCTGATCATATGGGAAACCTGAACAATCCTTCCATTTTCTACAATGATGGGGAGGGGGAGGGAAAGTGAGCTCTGTTACAGGGTTTTCCCCTTATGCAGTTGCTGTTCCTGCAGTGGATTGGATCAGACTCCTAGTATTTAGTTGTCTCTTATTCAGCTTTCAACTTTCCCAGGCAAATAGGCTGGTCAGCAAATATATCAGCCTTTGATCCCATAATTAGGTGAAAGGTATCTGGATTTTGCAATGGGAAACAGGGTGTTTTGGGAACACAAAAGAGTGATCTCAGTTTCTGGAGAAGATTAGAAGCTTTCAGAAAGATGAATGTGGGTTTTCCCCCTCAGGAGGTGTGTTGAAATCTATACTATGGTGGGTATTAGCCTAGCAATTGTAATCTTAGATCCAGTTGAAGCAGTTTTCATGAGCCAGCTTTGTTCATTCGGAGGTGTGAGGTTGTTGTAATTTGTTTGTTTGTTTGAATATGCCTCGACTGCCAACACTCTGCTTATGACTCTGCATGCCTGTGAAGGTAGGCTGGTTAAGATGGAGAATGTTCCCAGGCAGAGAATACATACTGCAGAAAGGCTGTTATACTATGGACAAGATTCTGTAATTTAGCACCTCCATGCATTTGGCTAAGTCTCTCCTCGCTCTCGCTCTCTTTCATCCTTGTGCCAACTTCTCCAGAACTAGGGAAGCACCTCCTCCAACTTACCTGCTCTTGGAGTGTAGGTTTTCATAGGACAGTTTCTCCTGGGCAATGCCATATTGTAAGCTGCTTCTCTGAGTAAAATTCTTGCGTTTTCCTTGTGGTTGAGAAACCTGGATATTATTCTTATGGCTATTATCTTACCTCTTCATTTTATGGATTTATATCCTGCAGAAAAACATTTCTAGGCTGTTTTACTAACCAGTAATATATTACTGGTTTGTAAAACAGCCTAGAAATATAGAAGGAGGGCACCTTATGCAATGTGCATTTATTTGAAGCTTGGTGCCTCAATCTGATTTGCAATAGGCATTGGACTGCTTCTTGAGATATTTTGTAAAGCTGCAGTTTATACACATTAACATTTCTTTGTACCTGGAAGTGTTTGCCTACACTCAGATATCTGTGTCTTAAGGCCCAATGCTGATCCAAGGCATTTCTCTGCCTGAGGTGGAGCAGGAACTGGTGCTCACCCTGAGCCTCATCAGGATATATAGCACTTGGAGTTAGTCAAAGTATTTTGGCATCTGAGGCAGAAAATCTCACAAGTTTCTCTCCCTCTTCCCTGGCACTAAGAGCTCAATAATGAATAGCCATTTGCTGCCCTTTCATGACAACCCAAATTAGCTGGTTGAGGTGGCTGCTTCACCCTGCCTAATGGTAGACCCAGCATGCTTGGACCACGGTTCTATACCTTCTTATCTGGGATTAAGTTAGATCTTAATGGGACTTACTTCTGAGCAGACATATCTCTCCTGATATGAATAAAGAATTTTTTTTTTTAAAAAAAAAAACCTGTCAAATGCTCATATTGGTTGTGCGTTACCTTTTAGCACGCCTCAAATTTCTTTGGATGTGAGGTCCATGTTCTTGCAGATACATTTACCTTTTTTTAAATGGAAGGAACTTGGCAGTGGATGTGGGGCTTTTCTTGACTTAATATAACAGTGGGCAGCACAGCAGTGGTCGCTTGTTGCAAATAAAGCCTAGAACTGTTGTTCATTGATACAGCTCGGACAGGCTTCTTTCTGCTTTTCCAGCTTCTGTTGCCAGGAATTCGAGCAGCTGCAAGCTGAGCTCCCCATTCCTGTTTTGATTCGGCATGCGTACAGGAATAGAGCCTAGAGAAGCCTGAAGCAGGCTGAGCGTAATTGTACCAGATGGTGTGGAAGGCGAATAAACTGACAGCTCCCATCTCGGGAAGTCTGTAATCAAAATGATTGGGGAACAATCACAAAACACAGTCTTCTCAGACAAGGTTTCAGTCAAAGTCCTTTTGTATATCCTACATCTAGAGAGCATTTGGTATGTTTTTCTTCTTCTTCTTCCATGTATACCTTTCCTCTTCTAGCAGCAATGTGTTTCATAAACAGGGGATCTTGGCTGCAAGCCAAGCTAAGATACCATGTTAAAAGGCTACTTCAGGTTTGTCAGCCACAGGCCAAAGGAAAAACAATATTATAAAGTGTTGCTTAGTTAAAACAGTATCAGAACTTGTAACGTTTTAGAGACAATTGTAACAAAGCTTTTCCTCTAGGAAAAAACGAAAGTAGGGGCAAAATTGTCATTTTCAGTGTGGATGGAGTGATGTGTGTGTGTGTGTGATTAAAACAGAAACATTTGAGAAGATGCTGAATAAATTATGTTCGTACTCAAGCCACAACTAATGCAACAGATGCTATCTGATAAACTACCATTTATATTATAATAAATGCAGAAATAAAGAGGCAGGTACAATACTCCCAGAATCATAGTGCCTGCTTATGCCTTTCACATCACTGATTTCCGATTTTTGTTTTCACCCAGAGGATCTAGCAATATAAATATAATATAATATAATTAATATAATATAATAGCCACTTCTTCCCCTCACAAATAAACTAAGTCCTTCATTGTCTTCCTGGGCTACATAGGCTCCAACAGCAGGGAGGCAAGGACGTCATAAGCAATTCACCACACAGAGCAGAGATGTTTCTCTTGCCTTTCAAGCCACTGGGGTACCCTCAAAAGGCTGCACCTGTGCTCATATCTTCTCCACAAGGAACTGAGGAAATTGCAGTTTGTGGGTGTGCTAAACTTCTGTCAGCTGGTTAGTCCCTTTCTGAATTAGAATTCTCTGCACTCTCATAGCTGTGCGCACACGAGAGAGAAATGGTCATTGTTTCCAGTACAGATCAGTGTTAGCATTCAGTGTCAACAGTGTATAGGGCAGTATGGCTAACCTGATCCAAAACACCCACCCACCCCACTCACACACGAAAACAAAGATCACCACAGCCAATCACAAACAAACAACCACACCCTAGGCCAACCCCAACCTCTCTCACCACCAAAGAAACACAAATGAACAGCAGAGAACCTGCACAAGCAACGCTGACACAAAACCCTACATACATTAAGCAAAATAGAAACATCGCCACCTGACCCCCCCACCCCCACCCATCTCCCCCCCTCCACCCCTTCCCCCCCTAAAGTCTCAACAAATGAAACTGATTTGTAAAAATGTTACATGGGAAAAATACGAGAGACATTACACAAGAAAATCTTTAATTAAAAAAAATGTTTAGGGGTTGATACACACACACACACACACACACACACACACACACACAGTGTATAGGGCAAGGGGGTCCAACATGCAGCCTGAGGGCCAAATGCAACCTTAAATGTCTTTTTGGTGGCCTTTGGCAACATCTGATGCCCCCCTTCCTCTCACTGCTTTCCCAAAGCTGGGTAAGCAAGGCTTTGGGAATGAGACATGATGCTCTGACAGGGTCCTAGAGTCCTCCCACCTCATTCTCAAAACCTAGTTAACGCTTTCCCTGACAGAGCCTTGCACCTCATTCCCAAACCCTAGTGCCTCACTTAGCCAGCTTTGGGAAAGCAATGTGAGGGCTGAGAAGGGGTATCAAATTTTGGCCCCGCTCCCTAACCCCCTGCACAACAAGGTAGTGTGTGGCCCACGGGTTCTGTTTCAAAGTACTCTTGCAGCCCACTTGGTATGAAAAGTTGGACCGCTCTAGTATAGGACCTTAACTGCTCTGTAAAGACCAAAGAGACGTTCAGCCCACTCAATTCTTAGCTTGTAGAAAAGTGGAAAAGAAAATTCTGCCTGTTGCAGGAGGATCTTCACACAAACGGGTTACTTCATTCTTCCCCCTCTCAAGGTGTTTTGTGCTTCGGCTGAGGGTCCTCTCACATAACTTGAGAACCTAAATAAGTGTTCAACAACAGGATATTTGTTTTAGAGCATTTTGTTAAGACGACTGTGGAGGGAGAGGAATCCTTCACAGATGGGTGAGGAATCAAAACTAAACTGGATTTAGAATAGAAGCTGAAACAGATGGCTTTGTTTCTCATCAGATTTTATTAATAATCATGGAACATCACATCTCTATTTGTGGAGACACTGAGTTTTCCTTCCGTAGATTCCTTAGTTACCTGATCTGCAAAACATTCCCAGCTCTGGGTGCTTAGCTAACTTGATATAACAAGCCTTTTTCTTTTTAAGAATATACTCTTGTGAAATTATACCTGTGCAATTGAAACCATGATCCGATATATACTTGCTTGAAAATAAGTTTCATTGAACTCATTTCATTGAACTTTACTACTGAATAAGCATACTTAGGACTGAGCTGATATGGATAAGAAACAAATGTCCCT